TTTGGCCAACTGGGGAGGTTCTATTTGATTTTGGCTTTAGCGTATTGCCAATATTTGTATTTGTCTTTGGCGTTTGTCGTTGCCCAAAAACTTCAAAGTATCATTTTCATTTTGACAGACAGGAAGGGAGTTTCGGGGGAAACAGAGGAAAGCTTTGGTGGCCCACAGGCGCTTAAATATTTTGGGTAAAGTGAAAAAGGGAACATGGATTTTGGCCATCCTTTGGCCACAGATTGCAGTTCACACAGAATTCAAAAATTTCACACCATTGCACCAAAATGTTTGTTTTGTGCCCTGAAATGCAAGAATGCACAGATCGAATGTGATTGCCAATGTTGGGCTGATGGGTTGACTCATTCTTCCCAGCCTCATTAAATCCCAGCTATGGTTTAATATAAACATCTTGTCCACAGAGCAGGGCTCTGAACTCCTTTCGATTCCGGATTATAAACAAAGCCTGAGACCAAAATCCAAAGACAAATAAACCGCAAATAACCAATAATAAACAGAGAATCAGTGGGAGTCATCATTGGCCATTCCCATGTCGGATGAGGAGTTGGATTTAAGAGGTTCGAGATGTGGGGCATTAACAAACAGCACTAAAATTGACATTGAACAAACAGGGAATATTATTCGAAAAGACAGACGATATTCAAAACTAAATTGAGCACATGCTGCGCCACTTCACAGTGCCAGCCTCTCTCCACTCGAAACTCGACTCAGGTCCGTTTTTGGACTGAGTTTTGGCTTTCCTGCGTGTCATCCAGATCCTGCATGTCCTGGCTATGAGTGAGGCGAGACAACATGTCTGTCAGAGCCTGCTTGCCTGAATGCCTGCCTGCCTGGTCGCCTGCCTGCAACCCAAATTCAAATGGGAGCTGGAGGTTAGAGGCTGGAGATGGACACGGGCGGAGGCTGTTGACACAGATCGGCACACAAGGCTCAAGATTATTGGGTTGAACTGCACTGGAAGAAATAAAATGGTTATCATAATATGTTTGTTTGTCTGAAAAACTGTCTTCATAAATTCAGGTTCTTAGGTAACAAAGCTAATAGACTTAAGACTGGCTATATTGTACTGTATATTTATATAACAGTGTATTTGAGCTACATCGAGCAGAAAGCGAAATCTAAACATCTGCAAAATTACGCGCATAAATCCTTTAACACTTTTTCTTCCGCCTGGACACTAGACAAGCCATTGTTGGGGTTGCATTTGCCACGCGGGGCACCGTCAAATTAGCCCACTTCAGGGTCGATCCTGCTGCGCGCCCTCCTCTGGTTCCTCTCTCTCGCTCATTTCGCTCAGGACTCATTTCTCATAGCGGGTGCAGTGCAGCAGCATATCTCATGTCCATTGTTTACACACTTCAGATTTGGTGGTTGGGGGAGGCAAATGGGAAAGATGCACGGAAATTAAAGAATATTAAGAAAGATGTTTAAGGGCAACTTATTTAGTGATATTTCTTAAGAAAATGTCATACCAAAATCTTGTATTTAAAAGAGATTAAACAATGTTTTTGTCTTCAAACTAACCCAGAAATAGCTATAGTTTCTCTCCGTGTAGTAGGCGCGTGTAGTGTTGACAGTTTATGTATTTTTCACAGTTCCCCCTCAGCAGCTGCAGTGGTGGATGGTTGTCCATGACTATATCTAGGGACCCGATCCTAGTAAAACCCCCGACTGGCTACCCTTGCCAAAACAAACAATGACACCACCCGCCCCATCTGGGCAATTTCTCCTTGACTGGCCGCCAATAGTCGTTGAGCTGTTGAGTTAGAGTAAATGTTTCCATCTAATGACCCCTATCCCTAACCCAGTTCTTTCTTCTAGATGGTGGTCCCGAGGTCCTGAAGGCATATTTTCAAGGAGTCTTGTGCGGTTCCTCCAACTGGGTTTCTTTCTTACCACTTTCCAATGCCAATGTCTATGTTGGCCCGCCGCCCTTCATGCCTCTTTAGCGCTTATCATGCTCAAATGGTAATTGAAGGGCCATACAAAAACTATTTATCCTGAGGCTGCCGAGCGTGCTCCTTGCTGTTGTAGTTGTTTTTGTTGTTGTTGTTGTTGCTGTTCTTGTGGTTATTCAATATTACTCACTCGTTGTCCCTTGATAAAGGGCAAAGGGAAGAGGGAGGGAGGGGAAACAGACAATGGATGCATTGAACCCAAACCCGAATCAGAATCTGAATGCCAAACCAAGGCAAACCCAAACCCAAAACCCTGGCCCTACCCTTTGCCATTTGTTTTCATTTTTTCGTGGTCGATGTTTTATTAAATTTGTTTCCAGTGCCTCGGCATTATCCTCCCCTTTTGCCCTTACCCTTTTCGATTCCTGTTCGACGACCAGTTTTATGACAATTTCCACTTTTTGCCATTGTCGATTTGATTCTATTACCGCTCTCGGTTTTTTGTCTGCCTGTTGTCGAACTTATCGAGTGTTTAATGTTGTCATCATTATGCCGATTAGTAAGTGGAAGGGGAGTTCTATGGCCTGGGCGAACACTCCACGTCAAGGTTAATTGAATTTTCGCTTTGCTGCATTTTTACTGTTGCTATCGTCCAGATATGACCGGAAAATATAAGCCAACTACTCGTATATCTATAGCTATATCTATATCTTTATGTGGGCCAATAAACCATAATTTCGCCACAGCAGTGGCCATTGGAGTCTAGCCATGAGATGACCCTCGCCATTAACGTTATCTCCTTGATCCCCCGTCCAATGGCTTTTACGGCAAAGGATTAATTATGCACACGCCTCCGAATTTTTGTCGATTGCCGTCATAAAACCAGGCCATTTCGAGGTGGACTTTGGCTGAAAAAGTTGAGTGAATACCGTGAAATAGCCGTAAATGTTTTATTTTGCTATCGCTGGCTGGTTGACGGTCTGCTTTTTCATGAGAAATTACAAGAAAGAAAATTTTACTTCCGCTTTTTCTGGTTTTCCTGTGATCATATAAGAGACTTTCAGGCAGGAGACATTATAAGAGATTTCTGTATGGTTCCTTTTTTCTATTTCTATAGAAAAGTTGTCCAAGCCACCAATTTAGATTCAGATCTCGAAAGTATCCTTCCTAAACTTCTAATAATTGCTTTAAATTCAGCGCACACTTGGCACCGACTTTGTTTTGTGGATGGGAAAACGGAAAACATTCGCTTCAATTCCGTGCAGATTGAAGGAAAATTCGTGCAGCAGATACTATTCCGCTGCTTTGTTATAATTCCGCAGCAAGTGCGCACATTGCTACAGCTTCGTTGGCCTTTGTGCCAGTCGAATTCGGTAAATAAAGTTTTCAAAGTTGCACAAACTGCCAGAGAACAACAACAAATCCAGAGAGGTGAAGTGAACCGGAGCATCTGGAAAGCAGGAAAAACAAGGCGAAAAAGAAGCTAGCTAGCCATGCCAATTCCTTGTACAAGTGCCGCTCGATGCCAACAAGTTTTGCAAAATTCTCCCCACTTGGCCAACTGGCAACCATCGGCTCCTTTTCTGCCAGGTACGTACTACGTATCCATCCTAAGCCAGGCGCAAGAAAAAAAGGCTGGCAGCCCGCTGAGCCAAAGCCTAGTCTTAAGCCGAGGACCAAACATGAAGTTACCAGGAGGTGGCCCACAAAAGGGAGGCCAAGAAATCCAGCTTCGACTCCAGAAGTAGCGCCAAACTTTTATGCACAGCACCATGTTTGGTTTGTCTTTCCAGCTTCCGCTTTTCGTTCTTACCGCTCGACTTGTTTCCTCTGTTTTTTCTATGTGTGTGATAGTATAAGTGTAGGAGTGTAAGTGTGTGCGTGTTTGCGTGGGCGGATAGTTGGCTTTGGCCTTTTTGGGGGCAACGGAACGGGGACTTCGGCCGCCTGGTTGCCTGTCAGTTGTCGGTTGCCTCTTGATGGCCATACAGGGTGACATTCTTAGTGGCGCTTGGAGTCTAAGGAAAAGAAAATAACTTAGAAAAGTCTTAGCTTTTGGAAAAACTATCAAAATTAGTAAAAAACTAACTCTAAGCTTTTAATTTTCATCTATTATTATTATTAGTTATTTTATCTGCAAAGATACCTTTATGCTGATTAGCAAAAAAATATTTAACCTTTGGTTTTAAGTCCTTAAAGACCCCTTATTAAATTACTTTCTCAGGATTTTAAGGAGCACCCTTTCCCATCTTGTTTATCGCCAACTTTTTTCACCCGCAAAAAGTAAAATGCAAGTGCAAAAAAGCGCAAAAGAAGACAAGGCCATTGTTTTTCTCTGCCTCTGCTGCTGCTGCTGCTGCTCTTGTTGTTGTTGTCGTTGTTGTTGTTGTTGCTGGCATTCTGGTCCAGTCGTGCCACTCAAAGCGCCAACAGCAGCAGCAACAACTCCAGGAAATTGTCGCCGTTGAGCGGCGAACACGCCAAAGTTGCCGCGAGTGCAAGTGCAAGTATGTCTTTGTGCCCCAACGGCAGCAGCAGCAGCAGCAGCAGCAGCAGTAGCACCAACACCAGCAACAACCAGCAACATTCAGCAGCAACACGCCCCCTGATGGCCGCCCAAAAACCAACTTGGTATCGAATTAAAGCCAAGACATCAGGGAATATAAGAAAAGACAAAAAAAATCATACACACTTCCCCTGCGCACATGCGCAGTGGTGGAAAATGGACGCCGGGGAAATCGTCAGCCAATCACAATGAAGCTGAGGTGTGGCCTGCGATTTCCGAGGGATATCCTCTCCGGCAGAATTTCCCTCGCTGCTAATAATCACTTGAGACATGCGCAGAGCGAAAGGAGAGGGGGTTGCTGTAACCCTTGCACCGGGGCAACCCCTGGCGTCACGTGCAACAGCAACGGCAATTGCTGTTGTTGTTGCTGTTGCTGTTGCCGCGGGGACATCGGCAGTTGTTGCTCCGTTGCTTTTGTAAACAGGCGCAGGCGCACTGCGCGGGGGTACATTTCAGCTGGGATTTTTTTCGCCGTCGACGGAAGGGCAAAGTGAAATGCTTTGATTTCGCTGATGGTTCGATCACACGCCAACTGACAGCGAACGCGGCTGGTTGTCCTCGCTCCCGAGAAAACGGAAAAACAAACCGAATCGAATCGAGAACAGCATATAGACGAAGTGAAAATAAGCAAAGACTAATCGCTGAGTCCTACTTACTGTGTGTCGCGTGTGTTTTTGTGTGCAGTGGTGCATGTGACCCTTGAAAGACTCGAAACTAAAAACTGAATAGTGTTTTGTTTGTGGGAACTTGTATAAGATGCTGGAGTTTTACCCAATGCCCACGAATCTGAATCCAGTCGGTGGCAGCTTGTATTCGCTGCAGCAGAATCATGGCGGGGCACGCTTTCTGGACAATCCCAATCCTGGCAGCATGACACCTAACAGCAGCAGCAATTCCCTGCACCTCAGCAACAGCAACAACAATCTGCCAACTAGTATTTCCGGCAACAATAGTACCACAGCAACGGCTTCATTAACGGGCCAGCAGCAGCAGCAGCAGCACCATCAGCAGCAGCAGCATCAACATCAGCAACACCCCCACCAGCAACATCACCAGCAACACGCAGCCTCGACCACGCCAGTGCCAATTAACAGCTGCCCCACGCCCACAGGACACAGCCCCCTCAGCAGCAGCAGCAGCAATAATAACAACAACAACAATAATAATAATAATAGCAACAGCAGCAACCTTAACTCCGCCTGCAACACATTAACAGCTGCTGCTGTTGCTGCTGTGGCAGCTCCATCGGCAACAGCAACCTCAGTTGCCACCTCACAATTAGGTGGAGCAGTTGCTGCTGCCATTGCTGCTGCTGCTGCGGCGGCTGCTACCTCTGCGACAACAGCAACATCGACGGGACCCGCGGCAACAGGAAACGGAAATGGCAATGGTGCCACTGCAGCAGCAACGGCCTCGGCAGCAGCGGCATCCAAATTGTCTGCCGATTGTAGTGGACGCACAGGTATGTTCCAAAAGTATTTTGCACCGGCAGTCGAGGCATTTACCGGCTCGTCCGTTTCTGGGGTTTTCACGCTTTTCGTTTTTGGCATAGTTGCGTGTGCCCGGCCTGCGGGTCCGTAGCTCCGTGAGTCCAAGTTGGTTGGACGAGGCTCCAGATTGTGTACGACCGACCGCCCACACCTGACTATGCCGTCAGTTTGCGTGCGATTTTCTTGGATTTTCTGGGGCCGAAGGAATGCTTGAATTTTCTTTACGGGTAAAGTTTAAGTATTTATTCGAAAGGTGTTCGTTCGTATGGGCTTTAAAAGTTGTGGGGCTGGCCTTAAGCCTTTTGATTTTAAATATTTAATCATCTGCTTTTTGTTTAAGATATTTTATAGTTTTAAGTGAAGTCTTTCGGAAAGAGTTCTCTTGAAAAAGAATAAAAATTTAGCCAGAGATATTTTGCAGTGCTAAAAAATGTAAAGCCATGGCTTCAAGGTTTTGTGGTTTTAAAAAATATTTACTTTTCTTACTATTTAATTAATATTAAAATCAAACTATGTTTGTTTAAGGACTTAATTAAAACTCACGTTTTAGCACTATAAAAAGAGTCAAACCCAACTTTTTGTAAATGAATAAAAATTGTTTATATAATTTTTCTGCGAATTGATAAATTCACAAACGTAATTGTAGGATTTACATAAGTTGCATTAATTATTATTATGTCAATATAATCCTACCACTATGTTTGTTTTATGACTTAATTATAGTTCAGATTGCAGCATTCTCAAAAAGTCAAAGCATTTTTTGCAAATTAAATAGCCAGAGGTAGATTTTCAATTTAAGCAGGCATTGATTTCAATTTGTTTTGGGCCTTCGAAGGGCAGGCAAATAAAATGAACAATTTCCTGCCCAAACGTACAGACATTGACAGTGGGCAATAAATTATGAATTTTCGATGTCGCACACATGTTTTGGGGATAGTTTAGTGGGCGGATGTGTGTGTGTGTGGGAAGCTGGGCGAAAGTATTTCCAAAAGTATGAACGCAAGTTGACCACAAAATAATTTTGACAATGAACCTGTCTGACATCCGCCCGGCCAGAGGGCGTGGTTCGACCAGTAAAAGGCTATTAAGGCTTGCCACATCCTCCCACTCATCCAGACACACACACACACACACACACAAACTGATGCGTCGGCATGCAGGCAGGCACACATACACACACACATTAGCTTTATACGACAGCCTCAAAATAGGCAACACTTTTCAGCTGAGCTGCAACGAAAGTGTTGCTGGGAAAACTTTTGCGAATTTCCCTCCGAAATGCAAAGTGTGCAAACAATGTGTGATGCATATGCAGACCAGACCTCGTCCGAGGCTAAGTGGATTGTGTTTTTGGGTTTTTTAGGGGCTCTCATCCACCACTCGTTCACCCATAAATGCTCTTTTGCCGGCAAACTTTAGATTTGCCTATGAAATTTCTATTAATGCCTGAATTCTGCCATTTGCCAATGCCAAAATGGCTGCAAATAGTTTCCGTTTCCGTTTCCACCATCTGCCTTTCGCCCCCTCTCCAAACTCTACTTTCCTCGGCAAACACTTGCCTGTCGACTGCTAAACTACTATCAGTGCCCCCACACACTTTGCCGAGGTCGAGGAATTTCGAATGGGCGAGCCTTATGGGTCGGGGATTGGAGGAATTGGAGGGTTTGGAGGGCAGACCACGGAAATGAGCACACTCAGTGTCAGGTATTCCACCGACCGTATCAGCATACATATCTGGCTTCTGCGGTGGCTTCAACTTCGCCCCGTCTCCAGTAGGTGTGCATTTGTGTGGCGGAAGTATGCGCCATACGCATAGCTCCATGTCACTTTCCGTTCCAGATACACTGAAGTAAATTTAGCTTTTGCTTTAGGATTTTAAGATTGTAACTAATTTCTATAATTCTTAGAGAATTTAAAGACTTATTTGCTTCTAATTCCCTGAATAATTATAGTTTAAGGCAAAGACTTTAAAGTTATCTTTCTCAAATCCAGTGTAAGAAAACCACACTTTGCTTTTCCATTTTCCTTTTTTCCATTGTGTAGATAACACCTACTAGTTTTAAACAGCCAGTTCGTCAGTCATAATTAAAGCTGTCCCATTATGAGCTGTCTGTCAACGACGAACTGCTGCCAAAAATCTGCGTGGCACGTGGACTGGACTCCGGTTAGCGCCCGAATTAATGCCAGAAGTTCGGAGCTGTCTCCTCAATTTATCTCCATACAACGCCTGCCTGTCAATGTGTCAATAAATGCACCATATAGTCCGACCATCGAGGGGCGCTCGTCAGATAAGCCCCCTTTATCACCGATAACGCCGAGGACATTAGTTGGTTATATATTTTTTCAGTTTTTTTTTTTTTTGTTTATCATCGAGTTGATTTTGGATTTATCTGCTGTTTAATCTATGTATTTGACATGAGTGTGCCGCACTTGTTCCAACTGTTTGCGCTTGTTGTTTGTTGATTTTTGGACAAGTTTTGCCAAGGCCTGAATGGAAAGACACCCAGACTAGAAAAGCCCAAACAAACTCAATGAAGTTTCCATTGTTGGCTGAAACAAAAAACAGAAAAACGAAAACAAAAATAGTCGAAAAAGCATTCATAAAACTGCAGCCAAATGCCATAAATTTCGATTAGATTACACAAACGAAATCCCGTCACAATATCGATGCTCAAAGCTCTAGAAAAACCGGCAAAATTCAAAACGCAACCCCCCTCTGGTCTCTATCAAATGATTCATCCGTTTTTTTTTTTGTTTGGGGCTGCAAAAACCTTTATCGGCAATGCGATTGGATATGGATACTGCACAATGGGAAAGGACTGCAAAAAAAACCAGCCCCGAGGACATTGTCAACTTTCTGCTGCACTGGCTTAGCTCACAAAGCACTGGGTGCCCCTCTTATAGAGAGATTTTCGTCCCTATTTCCCCACTATACCGACTATATATAACACACGCACATCTGCATAGATATAACAGCAGAGAGTGTGTGTGTGTGTATGGGGACGCCATTGTGCCAACCATAAATCATGCACATTTTTCTGCCACTGAGCCACAGCCATATAATATAACACTCCACTTCCACAGTTCCCTCCACTTTTCCTCGCTTTTCCCTCCCGCTTTCCACTTTTGCCCCAACTCGCTGCTCATTTTTCAAATGCTTCCATACATTTTTCGTGGCGGTCGTCATATATTTTTTATGTTTACTGCAGGCAGCTTTTGTTGTGTTTTCGGGTACTACTTTTTATGACTGGTTTACAGTTTCAAGAGCGCGCGTCTACGGGAGGATTAGGAGCGTTCTACTTTGGGAAAGGGAAGCTGACATCCAGAACCTCCGTAATAGGACATTACCATTTCTTTAAAGAGAGTTTAGGGATTAAGTTTTAGCTTAAATTTGGTGGCATATTTGAAGTCAATTGAGTCATTGTTAGGGGGTTACTCATATACAGATTATCGAGGTGGATGTTCAATAATACCAAACAAATACGGAAAACTTTACGTTTCAATTACGCATCAACAAGCTCTCAATACAAGCTGTTGCAATCGAGCGACAGATAATTTTTTTCCTTGAAGAGTTTCTTTCTGTTTTTCTCCAAAGTGCGAAACAGCGAACGGAAAGACAAGAGAGACGTTGAAGCATTTTCACACGATTCGATTGTCAGCGCGGTCCTTGTGCCATTGGCAGCACATGTCATGATAATTTCGTAGCGACATGTGCTGCCAGCACGTATACGCCACGTACGCCCATCACCGGAGGTTACGGGGAATAACGAATAAGCAGAGCTACACTTGGGGAAACAACTTTCAGCACTTAGAAATCTTCTTTAGAAACAAAAACATAGCCGTTCATTAAGATTTAGATATAAACCACTTTTTCTCTTAGTGTATAAGTTGACTAAAATCGATTCAGTGACTTACTAACGCAACTTTTTCTCCCCTCAACTTCTTTCATCCCCAGAAGTGGGCCACATCAAGTGCGAGAAGAACTTCGAGCTGTGCGAGGGATGTGGCCAGAAGATCCACGACCGTTTCCTGATGAACGTGGGCGAGGCCAACTGGCACGAACAGTGCTTGGCCTGCTGCTACTGCGGAATGCAGCTGCACCACACGTGCTACGTTCGCAACTCGAAGCTCTACTGTAAGATGGACTACGACCGCCTGTTTGGAGTAAAGTGCTCCTCCTGCTGCCATGCGATTCTGCCGCAGGAGCTGGTGATGCGACCGATTCCGAACTTTGTCTTTCACCTGCCCTGCTTTGTTTGCTACGCCTGCCGCTTACCGTTGCAGAAGGGCGAGCAGTTTCTGATGCGAGATGGTCAGCTCTTCTGCTACCGCCACGATCTCGAGAAGGAGATGTTCTTGGCTGCTGCTGCTCAGCATTGTGGTTTTGTCGGTCTGGATGAGGATGATCTGTTGAGGCCAAGGGATGGGCGTAGGGGTCCAAAACGACCTCGCACCATCCTCACTTCACAGCAGCGGAAACAGTTCAAGGCCTCCTTTGATCAATCACCCAAGCCATGTCGCAAAGTCCGCGAAGCATTGGCCAAGGATACTGGACTTTCAGTTCGTGTGGTGCAGGTGTGGTTCCAGAATCAGCGTGCCAAGATGAAGAAGATCCAACGCAAGGCCAAGCAGAATGGTGGTTCAGGCGGAGGCTCCGGCAGTGGGCGTGGCACGGGAAATTCAAGCGCCACCGATGACAAGGATAGCAACGAGAAAGAGGAAAAATGTGTCAAGCAGGAACTGGGCGGAGATAGCTCTGGGTATCTGGGCGGTTTGGACAGCACTTTCGCCAGCCAGCCACTGAATCCCAACTTGCCCTTCTCACCGGATGGTAAGTTTTTTTTAATTTCAAAGAAGAGGATAAGTCCTAATTATTTGTTATTTTACAGACTATCCGGCCAACTCGAATGATAGCTTCTGCAGCTCAGACCTTTCGCTAGATGGCAGTAACTTCGACCAGTTGGACGACGACGCGGACTCGCTATCTCTAAACAATCTGGAGCTGCAGTCAACGAGCTCATCGGGCAACCAGCACTCGCACTCCCACTCGAATCCCCACGACATGCTGGCCAACCTGAACAACAGCCTGATAAACCCCATCGACAAGCTGTATCTCATGCAGAACTCGTACTTCAGCTCGGAGCATTAGAGGCTACGGAGGCGATCGATGGATAGAGACGAATTTATTAGCGATAGAGTGGCTGGCTCCGATCGGGAAGGACATCGTGTCCTTGCTGTTACTTTACACGTAGCGCGTAGTTGGCACCTTCCGCATTCGAGCATTAAGTTGGAGTTGTAGAACCAGATACAAGATACATGAAATGTGATTTTTTTAAGCTAATTGAAATTTTAAGATTCATGGCGATTTGAAAGTGGCGGGCCGTACATTTTGTTGTTAGTCTAGACTCTAGAGGCAGAAAATGTAGAACACCCGTAATGGTAAAATGGTCAATGTGCCCCCCTTTATGTTTGTAAATAGATTTAACCACCCGAGAAAATTGTTATTAAATGTAATTTAAAAGTCAATAATTGTATTAGCAAGTGCAATTTAATCTGTTCCCCTAAAATATACATCTTAACCGAATTCTTGCAAAAGTCTCTGTGTTTTACTTTTTTATTCAAGTAAAATTTATGGGTAATGCCTTTGGCTAAAAATATGGTTTTAATTTAATATATTTTTTAGCTTGTGAATCGATGCGAAAAGTGGACGCACAATCAAATTGATAAATAATTTATATCTATATGATATTATATTATAATAAATTGTATATATTTGATTATTAAAAAAGAGGGAAAAACGCAAATTCTAAAAAAAACTGTTATTCTCATTTAAATTTTTAAATCTAATTTTTAGCCGCGCACTTGCTGTCTGTCTAATGCTCACAGCTACAAAACAATACCAACGGCAGCACTAAAGCCTTGCCAGACGTGCAAAAATATAATCAATGTAGCCATTCTTTCTCTGCCGATATCTATCGATATTTATTGTTCGCTCACGCAAGGCTGCCAGACCGGTAAAAAGTCACCAAAAACAACGCGTTCTAAAAAAAATTGCAATAAACAATAACAATGGTGAGAAATTGGAATTTCTAAATTATTTAGGAGTTAACATTTATATTTTGTGTATTCCCCAGTTATTTTACTCCTTCTTCAAGTCGCTAGTGGGCAAAGAAGTTGTCGTGGAACTCAAGAACGACCTAAGGTGGGTCCGGTTTCTTTACCGCTTTACCGGTAAAAGTGTGAGACTTAACCATGACTTTATTTTTAATTATATAGTATATGTGGCACGCTGCATTCGGTGGATCAGTACCTCAACATCAAGCTGACGGACATCAGTGTTACGGATCCTGACAAGTACCCGCATATGCTGAGTGTGAAAAACTGCTTCATCCGGGGCTCTGTGGTACGCTACGTGCAACTTCCGGGCGACGAGGTAGACACCCAGCTACTCCAGGATGCAGCAAGAAAAGAGGCCGTTGTGAGCACGAGATAAGGATACCATTACCTACAAATATCAATACCACTAGAGCTATCCCATAGTTCGATAATCTGCCCTAAAAACTAAGTGAATTGTTGTTAAAGCAAAACCAATAAGAGGAATCCCCGCAAGAAGTCGTTGCGTTATTTACGGTCCATCAGTTTTTGATGAGTCAGTCTTGAGGTTTTTCAAGCCTGCTCCTCCTTCTACACATATATGTATCGGGTTTTATCGCTCCACGGTTGAATGAAGCATGTATGTCTGTAGGTTGTGGGCCAAAATTGCGTCATGTTGATAATGGCCCATAAATTTGTATAATTGTTGTAACGATGTCCTGATGTCTTTGTGTCTTGTCTGCACATCACCAGATAGATACTTAAGCAGGTTCCGGAATGGGATGTATTATAGGACTATATGTACTTGCACAGCCCGTTTTACGATTGCTATTATTGCCCGGCCCTCGAATTCAACCTTTTATCCCCAATAAAATGGAGGAGTCTGGCGGAATGCTTTTAATTTCTGGACCTCGACCCGCTCGTTAAGTGCCTCCCCGTCCGTCATCGAATTGCTTTGTTGGCCGGAATGCGTACTTAAAATGAAATACGCACTCGTGGAACACTTTTGGCCCTACATTTTGCATTTTCATTTCGGAATAGCCCGAACTCGCGTTCTAAACTTTGGCAGTTGGGCAGTGGAACCTGACGGAAAATCAAGCAATCAAAAGTTGGGGTACAGGGAGAGAAAAATCGTCAAGATTTTAGTTTTTAAAATATTGTGCCGCACACTGTTGTTCTTGAAAATGTTGAAAATGGGGAAACTCATGAGAAAAAGTCTTGTTATTCATAGGAAAATTACTGACTTTGCTTGGACTTTAAAGATTTTTGGTCAGTGTGGCAGACTCCAAGCTCGTCTGACTGCGCATAATTGAAGGGCGAGTTTCTGCGGTGGGAAGGGGCCGTCGCCGCCACCCCAGCAGAGTCCATCTTTCATTATTTGTGGTAATTGGGTTCCCGTTTCCGGCGCAGCTTCCAAATTCAGGACGCATTTTTGGGCGCATTGTTCGTCGGCTCTCTCTAAAAATTGTTTTGCATTTGGGCCAAAAACTTTTCTAGGGGAATGGATTTTGTATTTTTTCGCTGGCGGAGGGAGTAGGGTGGAGGCTGTCATTGGGTAAGGGCAATAGTCCCCGACCAAGGCCTATCGCGATGGGCGACCTCCGCCTGTGACGCCCATAAAATTTTGTAATATACCCGTGCTCGGGGTGGACGTGAGCCCCAGAGGATTTATGGAGCACAAGCTTGGCACAGCTAGTTCATCAACGTGTTGAGCTGTGCGTGGCTTGGCGCGTAAAAGTTGGCTCGTAAAGTTTTGCAAGGATCATTCGGGTTTTATTAAAAAATAAACTATACAAATTTGACACAGATTATTTATACATAAGTACGCGCCGAAGTGCGGAGCACATGAATATGCAAACGGGATGTGGGATAGATGAGCGTAAACATGCGGCATTGTGGAAATTTAACCGTCCCGCCGGAGGATTCGCCATAATGCAGTGGAATCCTGTAATGACATATGTGTGTATGGCTCCTTCCTTCGGAATGGCCAGAAGCATCCGTTCCTCTCCAGGGACCTTTCGGCCAAATTGAATTGTGGTGTTCACTGTAATTCGTTTAAAGTAAGTCCCGACTTCGGCTCTGGCTTCAGCTTTAAATTGATATTTGCAGTGTTGGTCGTAAATTATGGATTCCTTTGGGAGAGTGCCAGTTGCAAGGGGAAAATACGATTCAGAGTGAGACGACCTTGAGGGTTTCGAGAACAGAAATCAACAGAAACTAATTGTAACTCAGGAAATAATAAGATATGAACATGAATTTGGATATAGTTGGTAAGTTTCTTAAGTTAAATCAAGAATTAGAAAATCTTAAATTTGTAGGCCTTACTTTTAATTTTTTGAACTTGAACTAATTTTATTCCAATATTGTTTTATATAATAATTTTAACATTATTTAATTAGTTCTATCTCCGAAGATGTGGTAACCACAGTTTCTTGGCAAAATAATGCATTTATATATATTTACAATCTTTATGTTTACCCTGTTTTTGGCTGTTTATTTTTTACACAATTAGACAATTGATTTCTAAGTAACTTGGTTAGGAAAACAAAATGGAAAACTTATTAAAATTAACTTTACAAAGTTGCCCAGCTAGTGAGAGAAACTCATTTGAGGTCGTATATATTTATTACCCAATCAAATAATCAATTAAGCTGGAATTGCATTTGAACTGGCACTGATTACACTTTGATTATAATTGTAATTAGTGCACTTTATGGGCTTACACTAAAACATACTTGCAAACTGTTTAAGATGTTAAACATTCACAACCTGATTTGTTGGCGGAATTGGTTTATTATTACTTTATGTGAAGTAAATTAATTATATTTCTATGAATATTAGATTAAACTTTAACTACTTTTTAACTCCTGTTTAAATAACATAAAATTAATTGAAGTGACCTTGAGTTTCTGCCAGTGCAGGGCAACCGTTCCATACAGACTAATTCTAATCCTACGCTACTCCTAAGCACACCCATTGTGTTTGAAGACTTAACTCTCGATTAGCATTATCTAAGCACAAGTTGCACGCGCCCTGGTGATCTGATCATCGACGCCTCCGATCTCTGTTTCCTCATCGCATTGGCCATGGGGAATCTATTCCCGAGGACCACTAGGATCAAATCCTCTGGCAGTCGCCTTACTGCACTGGAAGCTCTTGGAGTTCTAGCTGCCGTCGCACCAGCTCCCTGCTCAGGCAATGGCAGCAGGAGCAGGCGTCCTCCGTCGCCACATCCGCATCTGCTGTTGTATACGGTGCATCCGTTGTCGCCAACGCTGCCGCCGCCATCGCCAGCTGCTCTCACACACTCGACACCCGCTCGTTGTTGTCCAACAACCCACTAGCCACGCCCACGCCTACGCCTCCCCTTTGGCAATCGTAGCTGAGGACCAACGTCGAGGGCTTATCCTGCAGCAGTAGCCGTTGCTGGTGTTCCTGTTCCCTTAGGCAGCTGGGATGTCGAGCCAGGAGTGCTGAACCTTTTCTCATTAGCTGCGGCGTTGCACTGCTGGACACGGAGCCACCCGAAGTTCCATTACCAGGGCCCACATGCAAAAGGCCCACCTGCTCCTTGAAGGGCGCACCACTAACACCACCAGGTCCGCCTGTGCCATTGCTGGAACTCCGGTAGTAACTCTGCTGGCGGAAGGTCCGCATCTGACGGGAACTGCCACCTGTTCCGTCCACCTGCGTCACCGCTGTCAGCATGGATGGAGTGCGCTGCGAGTCGCCCCTAAGGATGGTGAGTGGGCGGGGGAATGGACGATGAGGTAAGGTGATAAAAACCAGACGGAAAAAATTTATCAGTTTATTGCCAATCATTTTTTATGTACTTTTTTGCGGTATCAAAACAATCATAGAAGTGCGAGAAATCATATAAGCCACAAACTGAAATTTATGATATAGTTTAAGTGTTAATAAATCAAATAAAACAAAGCTAATTTAAAATTGAGATTTCAACTATCAACAACTTGTTTAGCCGTCTTAAACGTACATTTCTTTTGTGAAAGGTTACTATTTTGATACGGAAAAAGTTAGAAATTAAAAGTTAATACTACTTATTTTTGCCCAAATACCTCACTCACCTGTTTAGGCTGTAGGCATTGTTGTTGCCACCACCGCCGCTCGACTTGCCTCCTTTGCCAGGACACAGGTGGAAGGCGCCGTAGATGAGCGGGTTGACCAGGCTGTTGGACATCCCAAAGAAGAAGATGGCGTCCTGCAGATCGTCGCCCAGCTGCAAGCAATGCGGAAAATTCAAATTAATTTCCCCATTCAGACCCTTTTTTGGAGCATGTTTTTGTTTGAGTGGGCAGATTGTGGGCGTTTTGTGGTTGAACTGAGTCCTGGCCTCCTCAGGATACCCTTTTCTTCAAGAGGATTTTCGAATAGTACCTTAAATGAATTAATTCCACACCACTCTTCTCCTGTTTTTAAAAAAAAGTTTCCTACATGATGAATTTCAGCAGAATTCAATGAAAGGAATTTTCTATGAAAATGCATCCAATCAAGGCTAACATTCTTATAGTCTTGTTTTAGATTCGGAACTTTAATTAACATATCAGTGCTTTTAAAACTTAATTTCCAAGACTTTCATTATTTACTAACTTTAAACTGCAAACAATCTTTTTAATAATTTGAATATTTAAGTTGATTAAAAAAGTAAGCATAAGTAAATACGTATACACATTTCCTATTAATTTTATATATTGGCAACAGGAGTTGGTTTTCCTTAAGAACCTATGATGACAAATTCTTTACCTTTTCCGGAAAAAAAATCTTCCTGATTAATCGTTTCCCTAAGCTTTACAGGATGCTCAGGCGGTGGTAAGCCGACCTTGTGTTTTTCTTTTTTTTTTTGCAATTCCCTCTTGCGGAGGCCATAATCCTGTACCTCGGCCAGCTTTTACGGGCAATCTCTGGCAAGTCATCAAAGTTGGGACGCCGTGTCCGCCGTTAAAGGAGAAATTGCGACCGGCCGGTCGGGTGCCGTAACGATTAATTAAAAATTGAGCATAAGAAATCATTTTTATGTGCGTCGGCCCGTTGAAAAGCGTGGAAAAGATTGTGGCCCTAAACGGATTTGCCATCTGCGACTAAGCCGTGTCGATTTCCCATACCCGGCGTTTTCTTTCTTTACAACGTCCTCGAGCCGTAAATATTGAAGGGAATAACAAAGGATTCGGCCTAAACCACACCCACACCAATTCAAAAATAAACTGACAAATCGACTGCTGATTGATGTGCCTTCGCATTTAGGCGATACCAGGAATCGCTATCTGCTTGTCATTCAGTTCGCCGGAAATTTCGTTGCCCATGCCCCGGAACCTTTCGATATGAAGACTCACCCTTTTGTCCGGATTGAGGAACATGAACATAATCATCATGACGTAGTAGGGAGTCCAGCAGATGAGGAAGGCTATGATGATCACCACCGAAATCCGAAGCGATTTCATTTTGGCCTTGTGAATCAGCCTTTGGCGATTCGTTTGCGTTGGCAACTTGGCCGTGGAGTAGTTGGCCAACTTTGATCCCTGGAACATCTTTTCACTGCCTGTTGGATTTCATGGAAATTGAATTGAAGTCTGTGTTTTGTTAGCCAGAAACTCACTTGATATAGTGCGAAATGTGGACATGTAGGTGCCAAACAGAATGCACAGCGGCAGTAGGAAGGTGAAGACCAATGTAAACGTGGCGTACATCTGCTCCTGCCAGTCAGCTGTATAGAATCCGTGGGTGACGCACTGGTAGAACTCCTCCACAAACGGACCACGCGCCACGTGGAATATGAAAAACTTCAGTGAAATCCGTAAACAACAAAGTAAGTAGCGTAGGAGAAGAAAGAATTTTAAAGGTCAGTTTTATATTGCTAGGACTGATATAGTAGTAAAAATTACAGTAAACGAAATGGTAGTAGGCTTTTTGGATGGTCACCCTAATTATCGATATTATTTCGATATCTGGCCGTTAAGCTAAGATAAGATCAATTTTATTGTATTCATTCCCTTGTAGCGAGTTGAATAAAGAAGACATATAATATAAAAGCTATAAAGCTTAAATACTAAATAATAATATATGTAATTGCCTGTTACAAAATGAAGCTAAAAATAAATCAGATTCTATCACTAATTCAAAAATCTCCACATATTTTCCTAGGTAAATAATTTACATTACTGGTTGCAATGAACGAGACTGTAAATACAGACGTGTTTACATGGAAATCCATATGTGGCCCATGGTAACAAATTGCTGACGCAAAGCGACTCTTTGATCTGCTGTTCACTGGACGGGGGAAGGACTTGTGAAAGCCGAAAGGCTGCTTTCCTTGCTCGTTCTGAATAAGTCCTTAATTGAGGGAACATTTTCGTGATACTGTATTCAGTTTAGCAAAAGAATATTTCATTGTTGCACAGTTCGTTTTTGTACCTTTCTATGAAAAGTATTCCCCAAGAAAATCCCCTTTTTGGAAAAGTGTCTGGCCAGCGCTGATAAAGCAAATGTAGCGTCTTATATTCGCTAAGGATGGATGTGTCGGCGCATAACTAATACGCTAAAAGTCTTTTTATTTGCACTTTTTATGGGCTCCTTGTCGGCCGCTGTGTCAACAGCTGACCCAAATGGATAAACTTGTGGCGCATAGTAAAACTACATAAAACCCCAGGGACTAACGAGAAGCGGATAATCGTCTAATGGTTGATTTTTATTAATTTCGCACATTTATAACTTCCAAGCCATTGCCTTCGCGGAAGCAGAAGACGACGTAGCTTATTTCGAAATCCGATCCATGTAGGTCAGGGCCATGAAAAAAGAAGCAGATGTAAGGAACGATTAGTGTGGCTCTCCTTCAAACACTCAAATTGTTACTTCTTAAACTGAATGCCCCGAAGCCTAGTTCAACTTATTTCAAAAATAAACTTTTCAAGTGTTCATTCATTATTATTTCTACGTTTGATTTTCAGTAAAAACGAGCAAAAAGTTTAAACGGTTCTCTTCGTAGGAAAAACTATGCCACACAAGTCTTGAGCACTATTTGCACAAAAGTTGGCAAATTGCAATGGAAAACTTTTCATGAAGGCATCAAATGGATTCGAATAATGTATTCATTGTTGGGAAGAACTTTTAAAATTTCATTTAAAACAAAAATGCATTTCTCAATTTTATTTGGTTCACTTGTTAGGGTTTTATACCCACTTAGTTTTAATTTAAGGAAATATTAACTAGATTTACACTTTTGAAGTCCTTTTAAATTAAAAAGTGCAGCAATTTAAATATAAATACGAATAAATTTAAAGTCTGGGGAGTTTATGATCAATACAAGTCATCTTTTGATTAACTTCTAGCATTCTGTGACCTCAAGCTAATTGGCATGTTGACATAGAGTTTCGAACTCATGTAACTAGTGACTGCCAAAATTTAATTGATTCTTGGAAAATTCTAATTTCACTCCCTCCAATTAATATTTTCCATGTATTGTTGTCACAATTAAATTCACAAAATAACATTCTTGAAGACCTGTGAACAAACTTGTGTCTGACTCTATTATGTCGAAGTGTTTTCATTGTGCCAAGTTGGGCTGGCATTGGGTATTATTGTGTCAGGGAGAGTCGTTGTGTGTGCCGTAGTCCCTTTTCCTTGAGGCAATGGAACCGTAGCCAAATAAATGCTGTTGGTGAAAACATTTGTTGTTTATTGGCAGTCGAAGTGAATTTTCATTTCGCTTTTTTATTTGAAACCAACGAGCTCAGCGGTGCGTCTCATATTGGATTCGATGTGGCTGCTTACCGACATGTGCTGGGTGGTGCATGAACGTGTGACACCGGAAAAGTTGTCCGGAAAATTGTTTGAGATGATTCCCTTATTTTTTGGCTCTAACGTTCTTGGTCCCACTGACTGACTTGGCCACGTCACGTCTGTAAGCCGCATAAATTTTATGTCGCATGTTCAATAAAACGAAATGAAGAAAGTTTCCCCGGGACAGTCATCTCGGGGGCCGAAAAGTGGACCATAAAATTTTGGCATAATGATTGCAAAGTTTCTTTTAATTGGGTGACAGTGGTCCTTTAATTATGTAACAATATTGGCGGTCAGCTAAAAATGGATTTCTGCAATATGTCACATAACTTTTGATGCTCCTCGTAACGAGCTGAATGAAATATTTACACCTAAACTGACAGTTTACCAAAGTCCTTGAGACTTTTGTTAAAAATTCAAACCAATACATTGTGTCCATTTTATTATGGGTTTGTCTGGAGTAAAAGTCATCGTCATTGACCCCAAGCCCACTTCAAAATCTGTCAAATCTGCTACTCAACATTGAGTGGAGAAAAATAAACATCAGAACGTAATTAGACTTAACATTTTTTGCGGCATTTAAACAAGTCAGACACTTTTGACAAGCCGACACGCACAAGCTTTCACACCCCCCAAAAGCCCACACAAACATTTTGGCACGAAGTGTGCAAACATAATCTCGCCTCGATTTTGGCAGTACGCCGGTAATTATTGTTCCACGCCATATATTATTCAGATACAAGAAAACACGGCTCGCGAGGAATGGCGTCAGTTTGGTTAGCTCTCCTAATGAAATGCGTTAAATTATAGCATACATTTGAGAGCGTTGCTGGAGGAAAAATATGGGAAAACGTAGAAGTTGCATAAGGTGGGTTTTGGGGAAAATTACTGCTTTCACGGAAACTTTCCTTTGCTTTCCTCTTCTTGTAATCCCAAGCAGTTATCTATTTTTGGAATCTCTTAGGTGAGTGATTTGGTGACCCAAAGGTCAAACCTTTGTGCCCACTCGATTTTATGGCAAGCCAAACACTTTAGACGATATTCATGAATCGGGTCACAAAGGAGCCTGGCAAAGTTTTCACTTCCACTTTTCAATCAAACTAAATTATATCCAGTCTCCTTGGCAACTTTGAAGTGGTCTTTTCAAACTAATTACCTACCTTAGTCACTGCCTCAACTTAAGTGACCCGGGAAGTTGCTCCTCCGAGGAGCAGTCAGGAACACGACACTCCAGCCTAGATTAGCTGAATTAAATAAATGAACGGGCCAAGCAGGAGCCTCACCCGGAGGCCATAAATCAAGGACAGGCCAGCGAATCAAGTATGAAATCGGGCTGAAAAGACACGCGGCATATATTATACAATCAATGTGCCGGAACTCTGGAGCCGAATCCTAGAACAAAGCGAGGGATTCCCATTAATGCAGTCCCATTCGAGCTTATCCGCCAGCTGACAGTGGGAAAAAAAAGAATATATCACCCAGCCTGCCTATCTGCACACAATGAATCGGGAATATGAATAATGTCTGTCATCAGGCAGACACTTGTCCCGACCTTTTTTTTCCGATTGTTGGTTTCCCAAAGGAAAAAAACCCTTTTGTTGGTCCTGGCATCCAGGGTTCGATTGGCCGACCCATCCGGACGCCCAGGCACGTGTGTGTGGGCGTGGCAGAGGCCTAAAGCCACATTTAGTGCACACTTATTGTGCGAAAGGCAATCATTTTTAATGTCTGCACACATTCTGGCGCCTACTCAAGACTATTTGCGCCCTGCCACGGGGCGTATGCGTGTTATAAAGTAAACATATTACTTCAACTTCATCAGCACGGTGGCAAAGTGATATGGAGTGGGTCGTCCCTGATCCCCAGCTTTAACTTAGCGTAATGGAACGCCCTCTGAAAGCGATTGCAAGAGTGCCAGATTATTTTCATAAGCGTGTGTCCTCATGCCACTCATCTCAGAGATTCTTTGACGCGAAATGCCTTCTGGTGAGTGCCTTTTTCTTGGAAAGAGATCAGCTGCAGACGCTTTAATTCTTGCTCTAAGGTACATATATTTTAAAGGGAAAAGTATTTAGAAATTTTCCATTAAAAAATATATTAAAATGCAGAAATATTGGTAGGACCCCTTTTTATTATTCTTTTGTTTTTTCTCCCCTTCTGCTTGGATGAGTTTTTGCATTTTAAATAGATTTTTTTTATAAATTCAGGAGGTCTTTAAAGCCATTTAAATGAATATATTGTGATATGAAACTTCAATGGCATATCTCGCAGTGCACTTACCTGTGGCAAGCTGAGGACCAGCGACAAGATGTAAGTGCCACCAAGCAGGCGATGGCATCTTTTAGCCATGTTGAGTGACTTCATCGGATACTTGACCGCTATCCACCGATCCACGCCGATCAGCACTAGGACATAGGTGCTCAGGTAGAGGCTGAACATCTGGAAGAGCTTCACCAGCTTGCAGGTGAGCTCATTGGCCAGCCACTGGACCGTGTAGCACCAAGCTGCCTCCCCAATGATGCAGAACCAGGTGACCAGGACATCGGCAATTGACAGATGAAACATCAGCGAGTAAATGGCACTCCACGTGTGCCTGGAGTTTCTCCTTGAAATGCGGGTCTTATAGATATTCCAGATGGTCAGCAGGTTGCCCAGAAGGGAGAAGAGTGCCATCACTGCCAGGACATACACCTTGAGTAGCCCAGAACGGGATAACTGGGGGGCGTGGTCCATCACGTGCTCGGGAACCTGTTCGGCCATCGGTGGGGATTCATGACGACTATTTGTGTGTGCCAGCGAGGAGCTATTAGCGATCGCAAAGGCGGGCAGGGGCGTGGTGCTAACACTCAGATTGACTATATCCGTGGCCACGCCCACACTCAAGTCCATCATATTGAGCGTATAGTTGATGATTTCCGGAGCAGCGTTAGCCACCAGACGAGTAAAGTTGCCCAATGTTGACCAATTACTGGCCACCTCGTTGTCTGTCTCCAAATCCATCGAAGCATTAGGGACGGTGGGCAGGCGACCAAAGGAGGCCGTCTGCTCCTCCAAGCCCCACTCGTCCTCCATTTTGGTTAGTAGCTCTTCTTCTTAATTAATTGATTTTTTCAGTTTGGACGGTGGTTAAGGGATAGGTGCTTCCATAAAGGCAATCAGTTACATTCTGATTTCTTCACTCAGGCAATGACCTCAAATGCATTTCTCCATCAATTTTCATTCATCCATCATTGATTCATCCAACATGAATATAGGTTAAGACTGTTCAAACTGCAAGTAAAGGGAAAATAAATAGACTTCATTATATTAATTTCATTTTGGAATATGAGAATCTTAATAATTATATTTTCCAGGAAAACTTTTTCATGAAAAAGCCTGGGAAAAAGGTAGATTAATTCAATATTTAAAGCTTCTGAGGAATACAATCTTCCAGTTTCCATAGGAACAAATAAAACGTTGCACCCGGAGAAGGATTTTAAATTAAAATTATATTAAAAATGCATTACTTTCTGCTTTTCTCAGAAAATGATTTGTTTTTCCATTTATGTTAATGTTTTCCTGTTCAAACAGAAAAATACGTGCTTAAATGAAAATTAAAAGGTGATTAAAATCTACTTTTGCCATGCAATCGCTTATATAAAAGTCAACTTTAAGCCGAGCATTGTAAATTCAATGAAAAAAATATCCATCATATGTTGTTAAAGTCTTTCACTCAGCTGTCTTGTTTATTTAATTGTTTTTAATGGAAATATTGATTGCCTAGGTGCAATTTATTTAAAAATTTAGTGAGAATGATAGGAAAGTCGATACGCAAAATGAAAATCCTTTTAACAACCCATTAGTCATGGCAATAAGTCAGAAGATTGGCATTACAACGTTTAAGGATTTAATATTTTAATTTAAAAGCTGACAGAATAATATCACCATGAAAGCCATTAACCAAGTTAATTCGTAACTTAAACAGCTTTTAATGCAGGCAAAGCTTGTTTTAAGTCATCAAATGGCTTAACTTTCTATGAAAAGTTCTTTGGAATAAGAGAAAGTGCAACTTTATACCACAAACTAGCCCCTACCGGGGTCTGCCTTTTAAGATAATTTGATGGCTCTGGTGGCCAATTCCAGTTGGTTAACTTTTCTATTGCAGCACTATAATGACGCCAACCATAGAGGTAACAATCTCATAATGGCTGACCTGGACAGTTGCAATTACACGGCAGCAATTACTCGCCCTGAGTATTTGCGATTAAGTGCGGTTAACGCGGAAAAGTTCGCTGCACCGCACTGCTGCTCAAATTAATTTTAATAGATACAACGATGTTTCCAGTGTTGTTTTCGCCTTAGAACTCGACTTTGAACATGCTGGCTGAACTTGCCTGTTGTTCTGCAAGTGTAGGTTCAAAGTAAAATTCCATAAAATTTCATTTTCCAAATTAATTTATGTTCATAAATTAAATTGGACGCTTGGTTTGCGTTTTGTTATGGCGTTTCCCCGCCAATGGGAAAGCAATCGAACCAATTTAGCGTAACGCGTGTCCAAAATATATATCTATCGAGTTTCGTGGATAGAAAAGAATAAAAAACAAAAACATTTTTGCTCAATAGAGGCAGATCAATTGAATTCAATAGGGCAATATGATACAATATTAATTAATAAATTGATCCAGTATGTATCAAACGATATGATGGCAGCCTTTCATCGCTAATTACCCGTGTGCAATCTGGGCAAATCTCGATTAAAACAGATTAATAGCTCATGACCTGCCCTGTACGGTGACACTAAAGCAATTTGTATTTGATTGCCGTTGCCGCTGCCGTGGCCCGCATCTTAAAGTGAAATTTCCATCTCGTTCCTTGTCACCGTCGCAGGCCGTTTAATCAACGCGATTAATACACAAATGCGCATTTGATTGATCAGCCAGCGAGACGAGGAACTTTTGGTACCCCTAAAAAAAAACACCACATCTGTGCCATGTTCTTGGGATCTGGATTATAATCCCCATGGCGGCGACAGATGAGCGGAGAAAACTTTTCAGCCAATTCTTTGCACGCTCTTTGATTGATTTGCATTCCTGCAGTAAAAGCCTCAGGCCCAAAAAAGTAATCCCTGTCCAAATTGTCTAGACAAAGGCGCTCCTTTCATTCGATCTAATTGATTCTGCAAAAGTGCAACAGAATAAATTGAATTACCGAAATTCTGGCCACAAAAAATCTGTTTTTAAAAGACTTCTGTGGGGAGGGAATAAAAAATATACACCAAAAGCCAAATAAATACAAACGGAAGATATCGATGGCAACGAATTCCAATTAAACACAATTGGTGGGCAATCTTTTGTTTTTACTAACGGGGGGAATATGTAAAAACTGAACAGCAGGACGAGGCAACCCGAATCAATAAAATCATTCGCAATTCCACTTTTGCTGATGCTGAATTTCACTATTTTTTATTTCGTTGAATTGTCCAAAGTTTGGCCTCTGGCAAAAGTTTCTGCGAATGGAAAACATTTTAGTTGAGTCGCTTTTACAGTTCATTTTTTTGTCCGACTTGTTTTTACGGAAACTTTGCCCATTGAGTTGGGATTGGATTAATTCCTAAAGCAATTTTCTGTTATTCTTACGGCGTTACTTTGTAATTACTTGGCGAGTTCATAAACTGGCCAACGGATTGTAGGCAGACAATCCCTCACTCCTCCCCTGCTTAGTTAAGGAACATTTCCGAGAGAGCTATTCTCATTAAGGGTACAGTGTCCCGAAAAGTTTTCACGATAACAACACACTACTACCACTTGTCGGGATATTTGCATTCAACTTGGCTAATACTCGAATCCAAGTTGGCGTTTCTTGTTTGCATTCACATTTCACATTTATTTGGACACTTTGGGCTTTGTCTAAGCCGAAGCTGCGGTATTTGCACAGTTGGGCCGCTTCTCCAAATACTCGTACATGGGTTGGAGGGAAATATATATAATATAAACTGAACTCCGCGGGCTACTTGTCTTTCCAGCTTGAATACAAACATGTCATTAATTTTTTTGGCAGCCCTGTCAGAGAACTCTGGCACTCTCGCGGAGTATATCTGAGCTTCCGAGTACTTCATTATGTATCTGTATCTCCAATGTGTGCACAATTCACTGTTTGCCTTAACATCACATAGCTTTCATGAGCTCTTGAGCACTTGATGCCATTTTGATTATTGCCCTGGGTTAACCACATAGATAAGCCAGCAAACACACACGCATAAAAAAGTCATTCCGCCGTTTGATCAGATGCAGAATTTAATTGAAATTTATTTCAGCACTCTGAGAAAGTACATGAAGCGCTGGAACGGACTAAAAAGTTGCAAGTTCCTCGTGGAATTATACATGAAAAGGTCTTGAAAAGACCATCACTTACTTTATTTCACTAATCTTAATTAACAAAGTGTAATCATTATAATGATGTTTCAATTTAAAACCAAAAAACTTGCCTTTTTAGTAAGAATAATTCTAATTAATCGACTTTTCGTTGCTTATTAAGATGAAGTATAAAGATTGTTAAATGCACACTTAGATTGTTGTATAAAAGAGGTGATTAAAATTTCAAATTACACTTAATTTGGATTCCAAAAAAATTTCACTTAATACGATTTTTTTCTATGCACAAAAATTCACTTAGTAAACTTTGGCCTTTATTTGCCCTTTTTGGCTGGCTTCGCGTTTATCTTATCACTTTGTTGCCGAAGTTGAGCCCGAAAATCTGGCAACGTCAATCTCTGGTTTCAACTTCAAAAATCACTTAAGCAAGCAAAACTTAATTTTCCGCGCTTTTCAACCGTTTCGGTCCGTCGTTTTCCAGCAACTGATTTTGAAAAACCGAAGCGGCAAAGTCAAATCATCGCGCCTTTGGTTCGAACAGGTTCGAACTAACAGCCAACATGTTGCGTTCAGATTCATTCATAAAACCAATGACACCTGATGGAGCGACCCTCGCTCGTACGACATGCAACTTGTTGGCGTCTCCTTGTCAAGGGCAATGCTCGCCAGACATAACTCATACGCGACTTGGGCTTAAACTGCCTTCACAACCATAAACCTTACCATGTTCCTTGCCTCCGGGCTCTTTGGTCGGTGCTAACAAGTTGCTCCAACGATAGTTGTTGGGACTGGCGTGTCTAGATTTACTAAGAAATGTTTATCTTTCTTTAATGGACCGCAATGCCATTTGGCCAGTGTATTTATTTTATTTACCCTAATTAGCTAATTTACGCACATGCCGAGGGGGGCAATTAAAGTGCGCAGGATATACCTCAGCTAAACCCTTTTTAAGGTAGTAAACAACGAGCCGCATTCCATTTCGGCGGCCCTAATTGAGTTTCCACACAACAAACAAGTACTTTTCCAGCTTTTAGCGAGGAAAACGAAATCTGACGGAAAAGAAAAACAGGAGACGAATGCTTCCATCTGTGGTTTTCACACAGAAAGCGAGAAGACTTCTACCTGTCGTCATTAGGCCGAAATGGAGTACATTTTCCAGGCAAGCGGGAGAAACTACAGAGTCGCCCGAGGAACAAACACAGGCACACCAAACACACACATTCATTTCTCAGGTTGAGCAGAGGCGTGTAAATACCACTGGCAGGATACAAAGGACCGTGCCATGACAAATGACGCACTGAGTGGCAGCCCAGTCACGTGTGATGAACCGACAACAATGTCAGCCAATTCGGAGTGTATCACCCACCCACAAAAAAGAGCCCATGCCCCGCCTTTAGGCCATTGTTTTCCAGACACTTATGTGAGCAACGGATATCGATGCCAGGACACCCAATGGCAGCTGTCAGGAGTTGTGAGGCGCCTCTTCAGGTTCATTTCGTGATCTCATCAAGGGAGCAGCGACAACTGATGACTAAATAATTTCTTCTCATCCCGAAAGCATATTGTTTGCTTACCGATAAACAAAATATATCATTCTTATATATATACGAGTTTATACAAAATGATTTATGCAGATTGAATACTTGAATGTATATTGCAAAGCGATCATGTAACCTGCTGGAAAGTGGGCAAACATTTTCTTAACCAAATGTGGCTATTGCGTTGTGGTTAACAATCAAAATAAATTGTAATACATTATGACCACGAGTGGCTTACCGCTTGTGTTTACAGAAGATTTCCTTTTCTCCGAGCTGGCAGATTAATCCCTTCGTAATGGCATTACGAAATTGGCACGAAAATCACTTTTAAATTACTCAAACTGCCTGTATTTCCATGCCAACGCGAGCGCTCT